GTCTCAAGAAACAACCGCGAAATGCAGCAGCCAAGCTTCGAACAGGGCCACTTTGCAAGAGCCAAACACCAAGGCGCCTGGTGTTTGCTTTTCCTTTGCCGCCCCCCCGTGCTCCTGGCTGTGGTCTGCGGAGACAAGTCTTTGCACGACAGTTGCACGCAAGTGCTGCAAAAGACTAGGTAAAGTTAAAGGGCATTTTGAAGGGCGTGGCCCAGTAAGCCTTGCTAAAAAAGTTCCTCAGCAGCAAGAACCTGTTCGCGAAGGGGATTCCGTGATGCTAGCAGAATGTTTGCAAGGCTATGAAGCACTTTTCCGTGCTAATTTGGTGTGATTTGGCCCGTGCCGATTGAATCTTCATAAGCGGAGTTATTGCTCAACATGGGTTGCGCGAAAGATACACATGCAGTTCGCGAAGGATGCGCGAAAGAAACTTTTTGCTTCGCGATAAATGGCCGTTGGCAGAGACAGGAATTGACAGCAAGCGGCATATGTAGATTGTTTCGTCGCCAGCATCACATCTAATCTAATTGTCTGGACCCACCACCAGATCATTTCCTCGGCTGACATGCCTTGAGTGCTGGGTGGAATTCACCCGGGCGATCTGTGCAGGTAGGAACCCATTTCGTTGCCACCAGCTCCTACGAGGCGTTCAAGGACTACACAGTGCAGGGCAGATGGCTGGATGCGCTGTGGAGTGGGCACAAGCTTTCTCATCAGCAGTACCTGCAGTACGCGTGCCTGGGTTAAGCAGCATTGTTTTCATTCCGGAGATACATCAGGGTCCACATTTATTGGACGCTCCATGGCTGCATGGCGATCAGCATATGTAGATATATAGAGACATTTTCGAGAGATTTAGATACACACGCACACACACACATATATATATCTCTTCGAGACAGATCTATACAAAGATATGTCTTTCTATATCTATCTATATCTATCTATGGATATATATATATATATATCTATATATATATATATACATGGACCCAGGGGTGCGGATGCCAAAGACTCACTTGAGGCGGTGTCATTGCAGTTGACTTGTCAATAGCTGTTTATCGATCCCCCTTGATTGAAGCTCTATATGGAAGGGAAGAACCCATGTCCGGATGAAATGATTAAACCCATACTATAAATGTTTCTTTATCATATTTTATGTGGTCTGGAATATGGGTACCATAATATACAAGTAATAAAGTGGGATGGAGAAACCTTAAAATTCAACGAGGTCTGCATACCACTATTTATAAACACATATGCGCACGAAAACATGATCAGAATTCCTTGTCCCGATTCTGCTGGGGCGCGAACGGTTCGCGAAAGGGTGGCGTGCGGGCAGTTTTCGGGTACCAGAATATTGACCAACTCCGAAAAGATTTGGATGAAATGGAACATAACATAAACCCAATGTGAATTTCAGTGGGACCACTTCATAGCAGGTCCATTTCATAGAATAGGGAACGTCACAAACACCTATGTTGTTTATAAAAGTGCTGCTTCGAGTCTGATAACGTGTCCGAACATAAGCAATAATTTGGCCGTAACATATCTTCAGATACCTTCAAATATCCCCCTTGGAATTTCCTCTACAGAATCAAGAACGTTGGGTCCTGGAAAATGGTGCGTTTTAACCCCCTGCTTTGTTTAGGGGTACCTACCCAGTGTCAACGCTTTCAATTGTATAGAGGACCTTGGGGCCTCTGATTCTATAGAGATTTCATGTTGAATACAGCACTGAGTCCTAGTCAGCAGAAAGCCTTAGCCACTGCGATTCTATAGTTGGATCTGTTCTCTTTGGGTGTATGTCATGTTCTTCAATTCTATAGAGAAGTATTGGCAGAACAAATTTCCCACAACAATTCGTTCATCATCATTGATCATCCTTGTATATAATCGAAGAGGTTGACAGTGAAGACTTGGAGCCTTTGAGCTCTATAAAATTGGGAATGCATAAGGTAAGGTAGGCAAGAGCAACTGGAGCATTCAGGTCAGCTGTCAATGAATGACACTTGGGGAGCCTGATTTTATAGAAGGCCAACTAACCCCCCCAACCAAAAAACGGCTCTACGAGAGTGACTTGGGGGCAGCGATTCTAAAGAGATTGTCAACTTGAAAATACCTTGGGGTCTCTGATTCTATAGATGCATTTTCAGAAAGAGGGCCAATGTCTCCAGAATTATCACTATAAAAGTGTCAACACCGTGTGCAGCAGGTTGCAGGTGCGCTTGGGCTATATCACCCGCAAACGCGCTGTGGAAGCAGTCATGCAGCAGGAGAGCGAAAGTCGCCTCCGACGTGAGCAGGCCGAAGTGGTGGCTCAGCTCCAGCCATTGCAAAAGCCATTTTTGCCAGAAGTGGTTGCCCGAGTCGAAGACTGGGCCAAACAGTATTCCATTTTAGATTCTCGGTACAAATTTCTTGTGCTCCGGGCGCCTTCGCGCGCTGGCAAAAGCACCTTGGCAAAATGCCTCCATTTCGTTTTGCCTACGTATATCCAGAAGCCTCCTTTCATTCAAACTGTCCAGGGTGCCACGGCCGCTGAGTTACAACATTACGACAGAGATTCTCACGGCTTTATCCTGTTCGACAATTGCAATTCTATGTCCTTTGTGCTATCTCAGCGGGCCTTATTTCAGGCAAACCCAGACTTTCATCGCTTAGGCCAGTCACAGACGAACATATTCTCATATCAGGTTTATTTATTCAGGGTCCCCATTGTGATCACCATAGATGAATCAACTGACTGGGATGATGACGAACCATGGATTCGCGAGAATCAGCATTTGGTGCAGCTCACCGGCCCGTGTTATCATTTGGAGTAACAGCCTGCATGGGGTAGAGAAAGGCATGGCTTGGGTTAGGTTTGTGAAACCGCCTGCGGGGGAGATTTGAGTCTACAGCTGCTTGAACCCTCAATGTATATATATACATACACGTACCCGCACACACATACTATATATAAACTACACATATTTGTATGTATATACATATATCACATACAATTTTTGATGAGGAAAACGTTTGTATATCATTTGTATAATATATATATATATTGATATATCCCATATATAGGATGGATATACCCCTAATGCCCAGATTTCATCATCATCCGGATTTTTTTTTGGCGACTATTTTTGGGATGGGGTGAAACAGTGAAAACACCAGGAAAAACAGGCTGGATTTTGCAGAATGCTTGAAATGTTTGGACCCAAAGATGTTCTCAATCATCCTTTTACTTGCTCTTGCCCCAACATCACCCATTGATGTAGATAGATATGCCAGCTCCATTTGATGGTATGGGTTTGCGATAAGAGATAAGTCAAGTTCGGACCCCATTCCAAGTCTATCTTAGTCAATTAATCTATCACAATATGTTGCTTACATCTAAAAACTTTGTATAGCAGCTATAGCACCATGGGTGTCATCTTTTCATGGTACAGACAGTGCACCTCCAGATATATCCAGCATAGCGTCCACCTGACCTAGTTCTAAATTCTAAACCTACTGTACCTGGTAACAATCAGTCACTGCATAAATCCCAATGTTCCCTTATGTTTGAGTGGCTGAACCCCACTTTTGCTGATTTTCCGCAATATTCCATTTTTCAATTCACCTATCCTAAATCCAATGGTCAATGGTCAATCATGAACATTTCCCTATGAACACATCCATAAAATTGGACAAATTGGTGGTATACCATATACCTAAATACACTGCTTAATCATCATTACTATCATTACCCCTCCTAAAAAGGCTCTAAAATTATGGGCTGAATCCACCAGTTCACACAAACATCGTCTAGTTGGTGATATTTTCCCTTTCTTTGCGATCTTTAAATCACCATTTTCCCGCATTTTTCCAGTGATTGCGTCCATTATATTGATGTTGTTACCATTATAACTCAGTATATCCCATTATATTATATATATATATGTATATGTATATATGGTGATATGTTTGAATTAGTTTCCAACAGGTTCCATCATTTTTCAGTGTTAAATCTCCAGTTCCTGTTGCACCGAAGAAACGAGGACAGCTATCAGCCCCGGAACCACTCCCCGCCGCGTCACGAAGTGCATAGCTATGCGCACGGACATGCCGGAAGCTCAATGTGGCTGGGGGTCAAAATGGTGATTGAACCGGTAAACTGAGGGGGCTTATCCAACTGAACATAGTGACATCCAACAAAAAAATTGGATTCAACCATCAGCCATTGCGATTTAACAAACAAACATGGCGATTTAGCTAGCAACACCTGGGATTATCATGGGTATCATAGAGATCATCAGGGGGATGTAAAGAGAATATTTCATGAGTATATCTGGGGGTATTTCAATATGGTTATTACCATTTTACTAACTATGACTGTGCCAAAACCTCTATGGTCACTCCGAAAAAGATGCAGAAAAGTATCAATTCCTACATTTCCCTGGCGATGAATTAGGGGTCCCTCATTTTTTTGGTGTTGCGACCATCGTATGTAGCGTCCGGTAATCAAGCACGGCAATGATGTTCTCATGAAAGCCTCAGTTCACAGTTCCGGGATTTTCTTGCTATGTTTCATGAAACCCGTGGGTAGCTGGTTGAACGACTCATGATATTTCCGAAACTATGTCCAAGAAACAGTTCTTAGTTAAGACAGCATCGTTTATTGGTTAAATCCCCATGATTGTGAACCACTAGTCACCATAAATCCAGATTATTTACCAAATCGTTAAATCACCATGAAATTTACCAATTTAAGTTCGGTAAATTATCTATAAATGGACCATCTATACCATAGCAAATTGCTAGTTCACAAGAGGGAAGCAGCATGTTTGTTCATCACCATTCATCCATTATTCCATGAAATCACCATTAGATCACCATTAGATCACCATTCAGTCACCAATAAGTCACCATTAAGTCACCAATAAGTCACCATTAAGTCACCATTCAATATTCATTCACTCACCATAAAACATAGCCGCATAGCCTCTGCCAAGCTGTGTTTGTTCATGCTGCGCCAGAGTCGAGTCACGCATGAGGCGGCGCTGTCGCATCACGCTCAGGCAAGGTCAAAGGATGTACCAGTTCTTGGGGATACCGAAAAAAAAATGTGGGGAAACAATAAACACATCATGGTAAAAATGGTGAATCATTTTCTAAAGATGATGGTTAACATGTTTTAACGTTCTTTCTTTTGGAGGGAAGATGATGATTCCCATGCATGTTTTAACAATTTTAACATTGATGAACTATGGATGTCACATCTCAGGAGGAATCCCAGAACCGTCCCAATGACTATGGTAAGTCTTGCGAAAAACACCTTAGTTGGTGCCCAGAAGTGATATGTTTCTTGATAATAATAAATAAATAGTTAAATGTTCTAATATAAACATATGGCATTTACCTGGTTACTTAAACGTTACAGTTATGGCCCTTTACTAGTTGTAAGTACTTATAATCCCATTTATAGAATGTATAATCCCATTTATGACCAGTTAAAACTAATAGCCATTGCCATAACTGTACAAACCAACTTAGCTATCTGGAGGGGCCACAGGGAAATCACCCAGGATGTCACTTAAGTGAGATATCGGATGTGTTATTCATGATACATATTGTATATATATATATATCTATTCATCACATGTGATAACTTATTGCATAATTATATGTTATCCATGATATGTCATGTGTTGTCCACTATATACATGATATGTTAAATGTTTTAATGTCATCCATATTATGTTTTACAAGGCATGCACATGTTATAGTACAATATATATATATATTTATATATACATGCAGAACACATCCATACATCATCCTCACTAATGACTTGATTTTGAAAAAAGCAGATTCTATCTACTTCAGGATGATGATATGCCCAAACATATATACACTAGTTGGTTATATATCCCATTATTGTATCCGCAATGTATACCCATTCTATCCTTGTTTATAGTTTTGTTTATATTAATGCCCATATATACTTACTGAAGTTCAGGAAAATTGTATATATGTATATGTGTATATATATATATGTATATGTACAGTATGTACATACTTAAATTCAGAACATTCGGCCATGCAGGTTTCACTTCAGAGAGCCGCCAGTGAAAGTTTGAGTGTGATATTCACAACATCCTCCATACATGAAAAATACCAATCTCCTTAGTTTCGAGCTTGGAAGGCCCCCCAGCACGACCAGCGACACGTGGCCTTTGCCGGTGGCTTCAGCGGTGGTTACAATGGTGGTTGGGGGAGCCCAGTCGTTGCAGGATCTGGATCCCAGGTTTACTTTTGGACATTTTTTGATGATTTTTGTAAATTAAAGTGATCAAACGATTGCCCAATAAATTTATGATCATCAAATTATGCAGCATATTCTGATGATTCCAAGCCAGTTTTTTTTTGATTTTAAGTGAGTTCAATATATTTTGATAATGTTGATATGTTTAATGGTTTCAAAATATGTTCACACATGTTGGTATTTTCAGTGGTCTGTGCCTTTATGTTTGCCCTTAAAAAGACGCACCCTTTCGAGGATATGGGTACATGCAAACCACAGAGGATTTAAGTGCTCAGAAAGATGAACATGAAAACGTACGTTCACCCTCAGTGAGCAACATATCAACTGGATGCAACTGGGTGAAATTTATTTGCTGATGAGCAAACTTGAGGACTTTGTACTGTATAATGTGTTAGGATGTATGTGAACCATGATTAATGTGAATTTGTTTTTCCTCGAATTTTGGCATCAAACCAATGACCCCCTAACAAGATAGAACAGTAGAATCCCACCAAAACACCATGGTAAGTTGAACCTGTTCTTCTTTTTCGGGGGTTACGACCTGTTTCCATATCCCGACCCCCCAACCGTGCCCCCATTCCTCAGGTTTCGCTCCACCGCAAGCAGTGGCTCCGTCCATGGCGCCCTGTCCAGTCACCGCGGTGACTGCAGCACCATGCCACGGCGGCGTCATGGCGCCGGTGCCGATGGCGGGGAGCGGCCTGGTGCCATGTGGCGGCAGTGTACACGGAGGCTGGGCTGGACAGGTTTGAAAATTGATTTTACATATTTTACACATAACACGGTGAAAACATGGTATTTATATGATGTTGTATGTATTCATTGGATCTTGATGAATATAACTATACTATATATATATAATTATATATAGAATGGGAATATAGTTGATGGATATCAATCGGATCTAAGCGACTGGTTTATGACAATGGTGATGGGACATATATGGAAATAGGATGACTCAGTGGTGGACTTGTGAGGGTTTGTTGAATTTTGATGGGTGATCATGACCATTTTATGTAGATGTTTTATGATTTTCATGGGAATATTTCATGGGTAATATAGCCAACAGTAGGAATATACTATTACTGGGAGGATCATCCAAGACTTAGCAAGTGATTAGTAACCACAGTTGTAACCCCCTTGAGGCCACTTGTAATGTGGAATACACTTGGGGGGACCTCCGAACCGGGGTGAACCAGTTACTGGTACTGCGACGCCGAACGACCTCATCAAACATGGCTATTGTTGGGGAAGCCATCAGAAATGGCCAAGCAGGTGAATTTTGAGTCCTGCTTGAGTCTAAAGTGACGCCGCCTATGTTTGCTCAACAAGCCTGCTTATGACCTCAAGAAGCTCCATGACAAGCTTAACAAGCTTGCCACCACATGTCAGCAATTTGGAAGACTGGCGGCTCAGGGATGGGACAAAGCCATTGCAAAGGGAACTTGCAGACAGAATTGAAAAAATCGCTTCTATGTTCCTGGACTGATTGCAGCCATAGACTGACATTGGATGGATTTGGATATCTAATATCTATTCATATCTATCCATTTGTTCCCAGCAAAAATGAAAGTCAGACTGTTGTCAGGGTATCCAGCTGGTTCCAAAGATTTATGATTTTCCACCGCAAAGAAATGTGATGTTGATCCCAATTCACGAGCATCGGTTTTGGGCTTGAAACCACCAATCAGACATAGATTCGAGCTCTTATCCAGATATCCAAATGGATTATTAACTGACATGTAGCCATTAGCCATTATCTATGTCTGATAAGATCCACCATTTAGTTGGGTCAAAAAAGTCAGTTAATACATAAATCACAAGCCAATGTAGATCAATTACCCAATACGCATTGGATCTACAACCATTTTTTGTTGGGCTTATGTGTTGAGCATCCCCATTTCGGGATGGTCGATTCTGCTAGAAAAAAACAAGGGATGAACAACGGAGGAACCACAGGGTATTTCTATGGTAATTTCAGATCACAGGGCATAGATTTATCCAAATGTGTTACAGATCATTTTTCTATATAATTATATAGTGGATAGAAATACGATGTATAGAAGAATTCAGATCATAACCTAGAATACCTGATAGTCATGATAGCGGAATTTATTCACATTCCACAGATCAGTCTTCTTTTAAAATTATAGTCAAGTTATAGTCATTGATACAAGGGAATAGTCAGACATAGATAGAAATACCTTGTATAGGTTACTCCACTATCCTTCACTCCACCATTCTTCTATATAGTGGATAGTAGAATTCCTTGACTACCTTGTATATATGTATATAGTGTATAGGAATTCAGATCACACTCCATCAGCACAGGAGAGAGTGGCCACACATCTCCCGTACGTCCTGACGCCCAGACTGGCGGTACTCGCGAAGGGCCAGGGTCCAGCAGGGGGGTGTTCCTACCATGGGAAACTTTAATTGGACGGATTCCATCCATAAACTTATATTATCAGTGGATCTTGCAGTGGATCATATTATCCTTAACACATATATCATATTATATATGTAATATTTAATATTTATATAAATTATATGTCTATAATAATCCTTAAACGTTGAACTTTTAGCAGTGGATTTTGCACCACCAAGCCCACGTTATCATCCAATGTTGGGACACCCGGTGCCAGCCTGGGTGTGTCTTGGCACTGGGGAAAGTTCCACAGCGGGTGACCCCCCAGAGTAAAATAAGTTGGGTTGTAAACTCTACTACAGTAACTATAGATATTGACATTATATATACACTGGTTGGTGGTTTGGAACATGAATTTTATTTTCCATCATATATGCGATAATCCTTCCCAACTGACTAATATTTTTCAGAGGGGTTGAAACCACCAACCAGTATAGATATTGACATTCAATATACATATTAAATTATTAAATACCATAAAACACAATTAACCTAATTGTACGCCAACTTAACTTTCAAAAAAACGACGGAATCGGCCTGCACAAATTTGCCACGCACAAGCCTGTCCGAGAAACGAGCTCGCATGAGCGCTGCCACATTGGCAAAGCATCGGAAAGCTTGGATGGTGTAATTGGCCACGCTGCCGATGAATGTGGAATGCTCTCGCCGAAACTATTGCACCAAGTCAATGACCGCACGCAAACAGCAAAGCAATGTACTGAGACATTTGGTGGCTTGTGGACGTGGCTCTCAGGTGACTTTCGGCAACTTCCGCCAGTTGGGCAACCATCTCTGGCGCAACCAGTCCCTGAGATCGACAGCATTCACCAGTCCCTGGATGGTGCGGACCTGGATCCTGAGAACCGTGCCTTGGCATATTTAGGATATAAGTTGCACTCATCGCTGCGGACCACGATCCTAAGAGCCATGCCTTCGGCGCGGAATCACACATATCCAATTCTGAATTCTATCCCACCAATATTCAAGTATTCCCATAGTCATATCCCTCGATTGTTTGTTAATTTCCTGAAACACATGTCACAAACGAACACATGATTTCCAAGAGATGAAAACGATGCATAAAGATTCGATAGCAAACATTATTTGATCATATTTATTTAGGTATTTCCTAATACCCAATAGTTATTTCCTAATCAAACATGTGTTGATCATCATTAGATCACATTTGATCTGTGTTATCGTTCCCTTTTGATGTTTCCTGTGACCACCGGTCGATTTTCAACCGGAGATCACCGGTCAGAGACCGTCAGAGACCAAGCCGAGAGGTCGTGCAGCGCCAGCGATGATGCCGGCAGGCGGAATGCTGTGGATCTGTGGCAGTTGGAGATGTATGGGCCACCTATACTGTATACTATATATAATAAACCATGTGTATGTATATACATATATATATATATATAAATAATAATTTCAATAGTAATGATAATACTAATAATTATTATTAATAATAATATTTATATATATTTGATAATATATACTATATTATATTATATATTATACTATATTATATTATATTATAATATATTATATTATATTATATTGTTTTGTATTATGTTATATTATATTACATTATATTATATTATATTATATCGTTTTGTATTATATTATATTATATTATGTTTTATATTAAATATTATGTTTTGTATTATATTAATTTATATTGTATTATAGTATATTCTGTTTTATATATTATTATATTATATTATATTATATTATATTATATTATATTATATTATATTATATTATATATATTTTACTATATTATATTATATTATATTTATATTTATATTATATTCTATTATATTATATTATATTATATTTTTAAACTATATATTAGATATTTTATATTTTTTTAATTTTATATTATTTGATATTATATTATATTATATTATTAGACTTTATGTTTAAATTATATATTATATATTATATTTTATATATTATATTATTTATATTATATTATATTATATTATCTTATATTATATTGTATTATATTATATTATATTATATTATCTTATATTATATTATATTATATTATATATTATATTGTATTATATCATATATTATTATATATATATTTATTATATTTTATATTTTATTATATATTATATTATATTATTGTATACTATAGATGAATATGGGTAGAGGTCAATAGCGATGAAATCATGAATTGGACTTGTAGATGGAGTAACCCTAGCAGGAGCTCAAAAGCACATGTTATGTTGGTAGGAAACCATCCATATCTCAAATTGTTGTGAATTAGTAGCCCCATTCGACTGGGTCTTATCCATTCTTGCCGGCGAATCGTATTTTTTTTGTTGGTGATATGATTCGTTACATCCCCCCTGTTTGCTGGTTCTAATCTCCCTCATTCTTGGTAAAATCAAGCTCCCCAAATTTCTTCATCACTGTCGGGCCATTTAACAGTTTGCAATGGAAAATGGTTTGTTTCTACAGTAGATGATTGACCTATTCAAAATGGTCATTTTCAATATAGCTATGTAATAAATTACCAGAGGGCAGGTCATTACTAAATCCAATAAATTATATCCATTTATATCCAGGTACTCCCATTATATACCGATTGCCTACAAATCCCTATTGTTTTTGAAGATAAATAACCATGTAAATCTAGCTATTCCCAACCAGATATGACCCCATGAACTAGCTAGCCCATGAACAACCCCGTGTACCATGACGAAAGCATGGGTACATTGGGTACATTGCCCATGGTGGGATAGATGACCCGGGGCCCCATTCATCCCACTCATCCCCTGTAACTTGACCATAGCACATAAACCGTACAAAAGCATACAAAATGACCTTATGTGCTATGGTCAAAATCTTATAGTTTTATGATTTTAAATATGGGAACATACATATTATTCCATGGCTTGCTGGTGCTTAGGAGGGAATGAGGGAATGATCCATAATCACTAGTAATAATAATAATCCCATTCCCCCATTCCCATCCGATGGTACATTAATCAAAGTCACTACATAAACCATACAAAACCTCAAACCAAGCGGATGATCAGAGAGCCAACTTCTCACAACATGACGCAGGCGCCGCGGTCGTACGTCCCATGGAAGGTGGGCAAAGGGGATCATCTGTTCCAGATTCCTTCCTAGCTGGGATGATGATCCCATTTTTCATCCATTTTCATCAAGTTTTCACTGTTGAAGCCACCAACCAGTTAGATGTGATGTTTTCTGCGTTAGATGGATTTAAGATGGATGAAAAACTGTCAGCACCATTTCCACTAAAAGTTGAACTGGGATCAACAATTTCTGATGTTTGCCAGTGTTTGTGAAACCAGATTCTTATTTCAAATCTTTATTAACAGGATGTTTGTAATTTTTGTTGGTTAACATGCCCAATGTTTGCTCGTGAAATTATTTTTCTAATCCTTATTGTTGCTGCAGCGGCGCAAGTTTTTGCTGGTCAATTCACCATTCTTGGTTGTTAAATTATTAGATCTTCACTCTTGGGGTGCGTTAAACCACCATTTTTGATGCTATGTGACAATTTCTTTTCCGGTTTCACCCCAGACTTTTGTTGGTTAAACCATGTTAAAACAATATTTCTGTTGGTTAAACCACACTTTTGTTGCTGCTTCAATCGTTAAATCCGCATTTTTCTGGCACATTTAAGTTGCTTCCCTGCATGGCCGCGGCAGGGGGGATGAAGCTGCAGCCGGGCTTGACCCCGTCGTGGACTCGGCCATGTCTGGTATGTTTCTAGTTGACTTAATTGGACACTGCGGTAGTTTACACTTAACTGGTAAATTTTGATGGTTGGAAAGCTCCCAAAGATGATATGTATGTATTGCAAACATGAAGTATGAGCATTAGCTAAGTATATGAATGTTGCAATATTTTGTAATTTGTAATGTACAAAAGTACGAACCATTAAACGTCGCGTGTTTTCAATGGGCAAATCTCTGCATACTATAACCCCAATCCCATTTAACCAATCATTCAATCAACAAGGATATAACTTTCATGGCTCAATCAGCAGCTGTAATCCAATCAATGCCAATCAATCATCATATTTCAAATTTTCTCAATCATATCCCCATATTTCCCTATAATTTCCCATGATTTCCGAGAAAGTTAAGATTCTACAGAAAAAATACTGGCAACATTGTAACATACCCTCTGGTAAACATTTACATAACTATGGAAAGATCCACCATTTTCAATGGGTAAATCCACTATTTCTATGGGCCATGTTTAATAGCACACTGTTAAATTACCAGAGGGTATATCACATTAACAATTCCATTAAGATCCCATTAAAAGTCCATTAAATCCCATTAATGTCCATTAACAGTCCATTAAATCCCAGGAAAAAGTCCATTCAATATACTATCCCATTAGATTTTTTGTCAACGTTGACCCGCAGAATCGCACCGAATCCCTCTTCGGATGTTTTTTCGAGGCCGGAAATTTCGGAAATTCCCCAGGTCACCCAACATCTTCTTGTCCAATCCGGGGCTACTTCCTCCAGGATGAGGTGATCTCGATCGGATGCGTTGGAAAAAATGGATGAAATTGGCCTTCAAAATGGTCTTTAAATGTCTTGAAAATAGATGAATTACCATTGATTAGATGAGTTACCATTGATTTACCATGGATTTAGCCAGTGAACATGCTGATTTTCCATAGTTTTTAAATATGTTTACCAGAGGGTACCAACCGTTTTGGTGCCGCAAGAGCACTCGCCAGGACCTTGCGAAAGCTCCGCGGCGCCAGCGAGTTTGCGGTGTCAGAAGCAGATGCATTTTACCAACCATTAAAGATGTCATTTGAATGGTTTACAGTGGTTTATAGTGGTTTATAGTGGTTTGTAGATGTTTATACATAGTGGTTTTCCATAGTGGTTTGTATATAGATATTTTCAGCATGGTTTACATATAGTAGTTTATATATAGTGGTTTAATGGTATTCAATGATGTTTAATGGGATTTAAATAAGCTTTTTTTATGGCTAAGATGATGATGTCATGAATTTATCCCATCCCATCCGTCCATTTTTCATCCACCCAAAAACCGTGGTTCTGGTGGTCCTGGGGGAGGACATCACATTAATGACTCGGAGCATTTGGGGGATGCTCAATATTAAAGGGGGGAGTCAATATCTATATCATTCTATATCCCAATATTGGACATCTCTTATCATTTTTTCATTCAATATCTATATCCCAATATATCTAACATGATCTAACCATATGATGTTTTATGACTCTTTACAAGATGTATGGGATATTGATCGATGTTTCTCTAACCAGGCCCTGAGGATTTTTGGTGGAAATCAATGGGATCTACTGGTTTTTTTCCTCCCGATATGTTACGGTAAAAATCATAATGTTCTCTAAATGAAGCTTACCCGGCCTGGGAAACGTTTACATAACTATGGAAAGATCCACCATGTTTCATAGCAAAACTCACTATTTCTATGGCCATTTTCAATAGCTATGTTAAATTACCAGAGGGTATATAATGCGATTTGATGGAACAAGAACAACCTTGGGGTGATAGAGGGATATGAACTCCTTGGGTCTATCTGAACATGTAGTCCCCGAATAGCAACGTTTACATACGGGGAAATTGTTGACTCACAGGGTTTTGGAATACCAGTTTCCAGACAAACTTGGTGTATGTTCAACAGAATCCATGAAGAATCACTACAAGCAACTTTTGTGTACTCAACTGATATTTCAACTTTCTTGAGATGAAACGGAGGAATTTTTGATTGACGAGGAATATATATATATATACTGTCCAGTTGAGCATATCAGCTGTTTTGTAGGGTATTCGTTCAAAAGTGCAATTGTATAGGCTTTGGGGAGTCCCGGGAGTGGTCATATCCCCAAAGAAGAAACGTTGATGTACAATCTACACAATGCAATGAATCTCCAACACCAATGAAATCAAGATTATTTCGAGAAATGGGGTATGGCGAAGCCAATCATAGACCATCCCATTGGCCAGCCATGGCTGGTGTCATTTTACATCATCCCGGAGGCGCCATGAAATAAGCCCTGGATATTGTCTCTCATCATTCCGTCAGAATTTTGCCATCAATTGGGCCTAAATTCCCCATGTTCAGAGACATCACATATATGACATATCATCACACCCCCGTATACCCATTGCGGTTGGTCATTAACTTCATGAACTGGTGGCTACCCTCTGGTAAACTGCCATAACTATGGAAAGATCCACCATTTTTAATGGGTAAGTCAACTATTTCTATGGGCCATTTTTAATAGCAAACTGTTAAATTACCAGAGGGTATATCACATGAACAATTCCATTAAGATCCCATTAAAAGTCCATTCAATCTCATTAAAGTCCATTAAATATGTATGTTTTACCAGAGACTGAATTCCCAGCGATGTCACGATGTCACATCCGGAGTCTGACGCCATGCACCGTGAAAATTGGTGAGGAAGCATGGCGGCCGTCCTAGTGTGTAAATCAGATTGGTACCCTCTGGTAAACGTTTACATAACTATGGAAAGATCCACCATTTTTCATGGGAAAATCCACTTTTTCTATGGCTATTTTCCAGTTCGCAAACTGTTAGTTTACCGTTTCAAACACGTTTTTCAACCCTATGACCCTATGTGGGATAATAATCCCAATTCATATTCTTGAGATGTCTTTGGACTTCTTTGGAATTCTTTAGATGGGTTGAAACCACCAATCAGTTATCTGTTGATTTTATACCCCTCCATCTCCACAGTATGGTATGCCCTGGGACTGGCCGTGCTACGAATCACCGGTTGCAAGTTCCACGCAGCCCAGAGAAGGCTACGACAAAAATGCAGAGGAGAGCCCTGGTAAATTTACAGTCATTTGATGGACATGTTTATGGGATTGAAGCACCCAAAATTTGGGTTTGAGCAATAAACTTGATCAACCAACAGAAATGTAAAGTGTGGGTTTAACAAAAAATGTTGGCTGAAGCAGCAAAAATTCGATTGAACCAGCAACAATGGGATTCACACCCCAGATATGGCAATCCTGACAGAAAACTGATGACGATCAGGGATGAGATTTTTGGGCTATTCCAATAAAAATCAGACAATCCAGATGAGAGGATATGGCTGGATATCCTCTGCTAATCGACCCCAACATGGTAGAAAATGCTCCATTTTTGTTGATGATATACTATGATATACTTACTTGCTTCTGTTAAAATAGGGATTTGTCTCCCAGCACAGCATGTTTGCCGGACTTGGCCAAGCCTTTTTGATGGGCCAATCATTGGAAGTATCCTTTCAAAGGTGACCATGAGAGGTGGTTGACAACTGGTTGGTAGTTGTCATCATGTGTTTTCTGTATGCTTATTATGCTTTTCTGTATGCTTCAAACATTGGGATTGACTTGCTTCATCATGCTTCATCCCCATCTAACACTTTCCTAGTTCAAAAAAGTTCAAAAATGGAAATTTTACCCCTGAAATCCCATGAATATCCCATGTAAACTCAGCATTTTCCCGCCATGTTCCAGTCATTCCCACCCCAACCCTGGCCCTAAACGGCGGCTCATTCCCGGCAGCCGTTTGGAGACCCTCGGGGTCCCAATCAAAGGGCGCCTGCTTCACCCAGTTTCTAGGCGTAAAATGATGAGGGTCCCAGGGTCCCTGTGTCTGAAAATGTGGGCATTGAAGGAACATGTTCTTATCATTCATCTGGGTAAATTATAGTGGTTAATAGTGGTTAATAATGATAATTAATAGTGATTCATGGTGGTTAGTGGTGATTATACCCTCTGGTAAACGTTTACATAACTACTGAAAGATCCACCATTTTTTATGGGAAAACTCACTATTTCTATGGCCATTTTCAATAGCTATGTTAAATTACCAGAGGGTATCATATGTGATTTTTATATGATTGATTGAAGATGATTGATATGTCCTATATGGTTGATATTTTATTCATTGATAATTCATGATATATGATATTTCCGGGGGATAGTCAGTGGGATATGATATGATATGATGATTCGTAACCCAATGATCAATAAATGATGATCACTAACAGTTACTGTAACCCTAAAAACCGCCCCTGATACATTTTGGGGATCTTCACCATATTATTGGCTGATTGAATCACTCGAAAAAAAATCTGAGACTTGGATGAAGTCACCTTTTTTGGTCTTTTGGTCAGTAATAGCCATTATTAACCAACATTAACCATGATTTATTATCCATTTCACCATCATAGTTGGAGTTATGTTCACCAACTTAGCTATTGAAACAGGATATTTTTTAGCTTTCAAATACGATGGATTTCTTGGGTCACCGGAAGTTCCCAGAAGCCTCTCAGGTGTCACCTGAGGTGCGATGTCCGCGATGTCCGGTAAACGGGACGAAAGGGGCAGGAGGTTTGGAATCGCTCAATTGGTGAACATACCCTCTGGTAAACATACAAAAAACTATGGAAAATCACCATTTTTAATGGGCAAATCCACTATAAATGGCTTTTTTCAATAGCTATGTTAAATTACCAGAGGGTAACTTCAATAACTACCCTCTGGTTATGACTAACAGTTCGCCATGGAAAATCCACCATTTTTAATAGGTAAACCATCTATGAATAGGCAATTTTCTATGGCTATGTTAAATAACCAGATGGTAACTGATTAATAGTGGTTAGTAATGGTTAATAACATGGTTAAGATGGTAAATATAGTGGTTAATGGTGAATCATCGTTAGATAAATAATGGCTATTCATGATGGTTAACCTGGTCGACATAACTATAGTTAATGGGGTTTATAAACTGAGGTATTGCTGGGGGACCTACCTGGTAAAACGCTACTGGTGATTCATCCAAGTACGGTACGTCTTGGCTCGTTGTGCAGCTCGAGTTCGATTATCAATGGGATCGGATGATCCATTTCTGTGGCCATTTCAATGGGTCGGCCCACGATACCCTCTGGTAAACGTTTACATAACTATGGAAAGATCCATCATTTTTAATGGGAAAATTCACTGTTTCTATGGCCATTTTCAATAGCTACGCTAAATTACCAGAGGGTATTTGTCATAACTTAAACCCCAAAGAGATAGACACGCTTTTTTTCTGTAACGGCTCTATTTGAGTGGACTTTTACCATGTTTTACCTTCAGTAGTTTTTTGCGGCTGACTGACCCGCACCACAGGCGGACCCTGGGACTCGGCTGAGAGTCTTCCAATCGCGGCGTGTCACCGGGCGTGTCACCTCTACGTCCGGGGACCGCAAAAAAGGGGATGGCCAGCTGAGCAATTTTTCACAGGTTGAGGTGGATAGATTTCCATTTGGTAAATGCCCATTTATAGATGGTTTACCTGTTAAAATTATATGGTTAAATATATGGTTACCCTCTGGTTATGACTAACAGTTCGCCATGGTTTTTCGATGGCCCTAATCGAAATAGATGGTTTACCGTTCTGAAAAAATGGTGGATCTTTCCATTGCGAAGTGTGAATGTCATAACCAGATGGTATTTCCAGGCACCTCACCACGGATCCGAGGGTCAAGGTCCCGAAAAGATGGGATGATCTCCCAACATGTCTTGGTGGAGCTTGAAAAGCAACACCATGGACTTCACCATGTTCTCGTGAAAAACTTCCAGTTTTGCTGAAAAAGTTTCAATCCCCACTTGGTGGTTTCAACCCATTTCTCTTGGTTGAATCCCCATGGTTGTACCCTTTCTGAACACTTTCAGATTTTGGTTGCTGAAAAAAAAATGCCGCTTAAATCCCAAAACAATTGGTTGAATCATCTGTTTCTATGGTGGATTACTAACTGGATTAGCATCCCACGAGACGGAACTGGGCAAACCAACTCCACAAACACCAGCTCAGTCGGCTAAGTCGGGTGAACTAACCATCAGGTAAATGGTGTGCAACAGTTCACAACTGCATCTAATATGTGTCAATATGTGTTTATGATTATCATGATTATGAAACATTATACATATTATTATACTGTAACTGTAAGTGTGTCTTTTTTTCTCCCCTTCCTTAGCTGGATTTAGGGGAACCATATTTTCAGACAAACCCATTTAAGTATACAAGTATATATAGATTATGATCATCATGATCATGAGTATATACAAATTATACATATTATGCATATATATATATATACATATACAGGATGGTCCCCCTAGTTATGAGTTGGTTTATGAACCCCATTAACTAGTTCGTTGTTTTATCATAAACCATACGTAGTTAAACCACTTATACGGCAACTGAACGCTATCTTGGGGTCCCCATCCTGTAGATTTCATATACTATTACACATTAGATTCTATATATCATCAGATTACATGTTGCTATTACAGATATAATGTAGATTCTACTAGCCCATGTTACTATTATATATATAATATTGATCATAGTTAGATTGGCTTCATTGGCTTCATCCTTCACTGACATCCAGCCACGATGACTGAGGCAGCGCAGCCCAGATGGCAGACAGTTATGGCAAAGGCCGAAGCGCAACGCGCAACGCGAAGCGGTGATCGTTGCGGGCGGTGAAAAACATTAAGATTAATGTGGATAAATAATGATAGTAATGATATGTTAGTAACCATTAATGGTTAATAATGGTTATTTAATAATGGTTATATAATAATGGTTATATAATAATGGGTAATAAATGATGGTTAATGATGGTTACTGATAGTTAATGATGATTAATGTGGGTAAGACAATGCCAAAAAAAAACCATGACTGGGAATGGTAAGTTTATACCACCTGAATTCGTGATGTCTGGCGGATGCTTTATGAAATTTTTTACCCACATTAGTAATAATATGTTGGAATAAATGGGGATAAGTAAACCATAATCATAGATAATTACTGTAATCGTTAACAGTTAGTCATATTCTCGAATAAATCAATATCATAGGGATTACATCACCAAACATGTCAATAAGAATATAGGGGGATGAGTTATAATTGGGATGTTCAATATGATATAAGAATAAAGTATGGGGGATGACTGATAGGGATTACTCATGGTGATAGTTTTAAGGGGATACAACTAAATATGTTTGAATTAAAATGGGGAGAACTCATGGAGATGATTTGTGGGGATAATGATATACCTAACAATAGTGTAGTTATATAATCGTTTTAGTTATAGTTACAGTTTGGGATTATCCAACTTTTTTTTTGCATGAAAAAGCCATCCCATAAGAAACCAATGTTGTTTTGTTGGGGGATAACACCAAATATGTCTAGGACCATACAATGGAGGTGTTTGATATTAGAAGAGTCGGTTTGTATATGTCTTACTTAATATGTATATATAATATATAGTGGGGTGAGAATGTGGGATAATTATTATTAAACATTAATGTGGTAATGCCCATCATAAACCATCCCCAAAATCGCAATTTTTATGCGTGGTATAGACCATCCTCAAATGGTAGCTTTATTATTGGGTTTCCAGTGGGATCCACGATGTTAGGGGGTGCAGTTGGTGTTTATTATTGTTTATTAGTAGTGGAATCCCCCGCAATTTATTATGGCTCTTCATTCCAGGGTTTCTCCAACACATTGCAGGTAAATGATAGCCACTTTTGGAAGAAACATGGATCACTTTACCCCGAAACAATTCCCCAATTCTTCCACCAAACATATGCAGTTCACGCATGCGTCACGCGTCGCGTCGCGCCGTTCATGATGGGGCCAGTGGTGGACCTGCTGGGATCAGTGCCAGCTGTATGGAATATCTATGAATATCTCCATACATATTGACTTGTATCTGGGTTATATATGGTTATATATGCTTATATACTAGCTGTATATGGGTGATATATGTTTTTTTTTCTGGTCTGATATATAATCATCATGGGTTTTGGCAATCTACATAAATGTGATGGGAGATTTCATTGGATAGAATCCGGCCCTGAGAAGATGATAATGGGGATGGATGACCGCATACCACGATGCCACTCTGACAGTTTTGTTTTTGCTGCTGGTTTAGGCACAATAATGATTGTCCAGATAGCTTTTATCTCGAGCCGGTTCGTTTGAAAATACGAAACAGTATACACTGTATTACACCCCACAATCCTCTGCTCCATCATATTGACTTACACATATTTACTATGAATTGGTGTAATAATTGACGTAATTATACCAGGTGTCAGACGGAATAAGGTGGTACAAACAACCCCTTCGTGGCGACTTGTCCTAAGCTGTGGCTCCAACCTGCCAGAGGTCAATGCTCATCCGTGTCCATCAAAATCACGCCAAATCCACCAGACAACTTAAACACCAATAGAACTCACGAAGATACCACCAAAATGCATCAAAATTAGCGTTCAACATGCCGCATGCCATCAAGAATTTCGTTGACATTTCTCTCCAGACAATCTCAATCAGGCAAAAGTCGCCGCAAGGGTGGCAAGAAGGGTCCCGAAGCATCAGAATGGGACCGCGGGGGGGGATCAATGGATTGGGGTAGGTATGGGATATATCGATATACCCTCAAATGGTCAATTTACCCTCTGGATCCCTCTGGTAATGACTAACATAGCTATTGAACATAGCCATAGAAATAGTTGATTTTCCCAGCTATAAAATGGTGGATCTTTCCATAGCTATGTAAACGTTTACCAAAGGGTATTACGACAAATGATGAACAATTGTATTACACCATCAAATTTGGAGGTACCATAATTGAATTTTCAGACAAAGCCACTAGCTTTAAGTTGGCTTGTAAATCGGGATGTCAGGGAAAACAACTGAATTTAGCTAAGATACAGATGGATTTGATACTTTTGTAGTAGGTTTCTGTTGGTTTATGACTTCGCCAATGCGGGTTTGTGGTGGATACATCATTCTATATCTACAGCAAGATGGGGTTATGAACCAACTGACCTATCTGGGGGGCCCTCTTTGCGTTGCAAGCAATGTGGCTTTGTCCAGACATGAGTTACACCGGTATACCCTAAAATACACATAATGATTAGATACATAGACACACCATGAAAAACCAATGTTGGTGTATACGTTCCTGTAAACTAACATAGCTATGGAACATGCCGAATTGCAGATGACTGACCTATGAAAAAATGTGATTTTTGATCGCTATACTAAGCATAAATTCTTATGTTAGATGGGTGGGTAGCCATTTAGATACCGGAGGGGATCTCCAAAGTTCCTCCATCCTTCCAATTGCCCCCCGATGAGGTCACCAGGTTGATTTTAAAAGGTCGGTTGTTCCTGGGGTGCGTACCTATCCGACAGGTAACTGCAAGATGAGGCTATGTTACTTTACTTGACGTTACATAGGTAGAAATTGGGTTAGATTCACTATCATCCACTGGTTTACTATGATTTTCCCTATTCAAATGGCCATGAATTCGGAGCATCCCTCATTGTCAGACGTCGTGACCTGCAGGATTATGATGGCTATGGCAAAGGCTATGGTAGCTGTGGCTGCATGAGATTCCTCTTCTTGTGTGGCTGCTTTTTCTATGTTTTGGTAGGAGTTCACCCAGTCATGGATGGATATGCCTGGAATAATCCGGTCACCCGGGTTGCGAACCACCTAGCAATCGCTGGATCCTTGTTTTTGAGGGTCTTTGCAACAAACAATATGTGTTTTTTCAGTCAAAGACGTCTATATAATATAGTTATTTCTGGTTTCATGCACTCGAAAGGGCGTATTTTGAGAGTCTCAAATTGACTCCTTACTATTCTTGCTGCCTGTACCGTTGTTTGTCTCCCATCAGTGTGGTTTGCTCATGACAGAATAGATCCTCCTAGAGTGGACATGGCTCACTTTAACCAGGAAGCCATTGAGGAACTATTCCTCTTTTCTTGTCCCGGTGCCTTGCATGAAACAGTCATTGAATCGGAAAAGACCCAGCAGAGGGAAGTAAATTCTGGGGGAGTTTTGTGCAGATTGATTAATGTGATTGTTCATCCCGAGCGAAAACACGAGTAATGTTGGGACTGTTCATGCTTTATCCCTTCCCCCGAATACTGACCCCCCAAATAAAAATGACCTCAGGTAGTTTGTCGTGACATCACTGGAACGATGGTTTGGATTGGGGGAATCATCCCCAGCCATGGCCACAAATTTCAAATCACCTATAAATGGGAATATCAACTTTGGAACCCAATAGAATATCCAGCTATAGAACGTGATATGGTGCTAAAAAAATAGAGCCTTCAGCTCTCCCAAATCCTGCCTGCGTCCACTTTCGGGAGGAATGCGCAGGACCAGGGGTAAAGACCGTTTGTTTTTTTAAAGTTTTTAAAGTTTTATGAAATTGCAAACATCAAAACATATCAAGACAAACTATGGTTCGATTGTTGAAAATCAACTTTATATTTCCAGATTCTGGACCATCAAATAAATATATCATATATCTGGGTAAATTATAACGACCTCACTGCGACCTCACTGGAAATCATGGTTAGTAAGGGGAATCATCCCCAAATGGCCTTAATTCAGATTAGTGAATTATTATAATTTGCCCAGATATATGATATGTGGGAAACCCACTCTTAAACCTACCATTTGGGCGGTTTATCCCATCCATTTGTTATGTTGGCTTTTGGGACACATGAATTTTAAGGTCGCCGCGGTTTGATCATGTTTGATCTAAGTTGGCGCGTGGAACACTCCAATAGCGATGTTTTATGGTAGAAATATCGAACTGGAGTTATTAACCAATGAAACCAATAACCCATAGGATCCATGGTGCTGGTATATATGCTAACATAAAGGGGGTATCTTGATGGGATTCATGTTACCATATATATATAGCATACATGGATCCTATGGGTAATGATATCACAGTGATACCCCATCATCAATAGTGAACCAGTGAGATAATGGAATTAGTTATATTGCCAAACCTTGGGTAGTTTCAATCCTTTGGTTTTTCTTTTAATGGAGCAACCATAACAAACAATGACCATGGTTAATGGATGTTAATGGGGTTTATAAACCAACAAATATATTTCACATGGGGTCACCACCTTGCAGATGATTTGCCGATTAAGAACATGATATATTTTCGAAAAGTTCGTTATTTGAAATTGCCAGAGTCCAGTGAGGTAAGGCATAGAAAAAACCATGTTATGGCTTCTGGTACTATGGAAAACACCCCAAGTATCCAAGTGTTGTGTTCGATGATTTGCCGATCTAAATGCCCCAAAAAAAACTGGAGGTTTTCCCAATTACCCGGCCTGGTCAACGTTTATACATGGCTATGGAAAGATCCACCATTTTTTAATGGGAAAACTCACTATTTCTATGGCCATTTTCAATAGCCATGGAATATTAATAGTAATATCGGGTTATCCATATATTTATGGATTACAAGAATTGATGGATATTTGTAGGTTGCATCCCCCCAAAACGGCCCTCCGGCCATTTTCAATAGCTACGCTAAATTACCAGAACGTATACTCCATGGAACCGAGTTCTGACCGGCACTTGGTGATTGAGGTGGGAACCACAATGCTGCCAGCATGGGAGGTGCTGCAGCAGGACATGAAGGGCGAAGCCGGGAGTTTGGTATGTTCGGTGGTGCCCCAGGTCCGAAAAAAGCTAAGTTGGTGAACATAATTCCAAATATATTCCAAATATATAATAGTGTTTAGGAGGATATATCTATAGTCTATAGTTAATCTACTTAGTTCATGGATGTTAATGGGCTTTATAAACCAACTTAGAATAACTATCCAGGGGGCACCAGCTTGTATGGCTTAGTCTGAACACGGGGACTCATCCCTGTGTTTTTTTATGGAGAATAACTTGCATGAACAGAAGGTTTGATAAATCTCCGCATGGCGCCTTGTCCCACAAAAGCCATTCGCCTTGGCAGGTGGAACACCATGGAGAATAAACTCTTGGATTTGGGGTACCCACAGACAGACCCTACGAATGATACGAATTGCCATCATTAACGAATGAAGAACCAGAGGAGAAATTCTCCGCCAATAAATACAGTAAATAAATATAAATAAATCATATATATATATCAAGTGTTCGATGAATTTGATCATCCAAAAAATGGATTGATGCGGAAAATTGTGCCCGGCGAAGGAAAAAAATAGGATAAAACAGGGGGTCCAGCTACCCATATAGACAGCTCACCCAACTCTTCAAACAGCTGTGAGGGACATTAGTTTTATCAACTTTAAGGGTTCCACTCACAAACATTACGACCTAGGAAAATTTACCTTAGGGCCGGATAGGAAGGATGGTCACGATAGAAGATACCATCAGTGAATGCCGTTGCTTGGGGGTGCGGGACCAGGAATCGTAATGGGGAATAATCATATACCACAATTCTATGTGCAATATATGAACTACAAATGACTTTTAAACGGCCTAGCTGGGATGTACATCCCATCGATCCCCATGGGTTTGTTTCGTTACCAAGCGCCGGTTGATCAGGAGGCAAACCATCAAAAGACATCGTCGGGAGATCTCAGAGCTCGATGGTGTCCCACTTTTTTTTTCGGCACAGCACAGCCAGGGGGTTGCGAACTCCATGGGAATCGAGTTGTATTGCAATTTTGGGTTACCCTCTGGTAAACGTTTACATAACTATGGAAAGATCCACCATTTTTCATGGGTGAATCCACTATAAATGGCCATTTTCAATAGCTATTTTGACATAACCAGAGGGTAAACATTGTTTGATCGCTGAGTGGATAGCCGGATCGCCATGTCGGCTCACGACATGTCCATAATATCAAGGAAGGTTTTTTTTTTTTTTAAATAACAGTTCGAACCCAGTTCGTAGTTGCGGGGTGCAACCCAGCCAGTAAGAGGTTTTACAATCATATTACATATAATTATAATATATATATATGTAATATATATGTAATATATATATATGTTATATATATGTGTAATATATATATATATGTAATATATATGTAATATATATATATGTAATATATTTATGTAATATATATATGTAATATATATATGTAATATATATGTAATATATATGTAATATATATCTAATATATATGTAATGTATATGTAATATATATGTAATATATATGTATTATATTTGTAATATATATGTAATATATATGTAATATATATGTTATATATATGTTATATATATGTTATATATATGTTATATGTATATATATATATATATGTAATATATATATATATATCCCGATTATGCATTATATGGGACTTGGGATATCTCTAGTTACTTTTGGGGTTGTAACCACACGATGCCTGGAACCCACACATCCGGTTTATAGCTGGGAAATCTTCGAACTCAATGGGCATTTTCCAGCCAGCCTTGGAGTTGATTTTTCCACCGGAGGGTATGCTCAAAGCGTAACAAAATAGGGATGTCTCTCTTAGCACTAGGACGTGCACATGGGCAATTCCACTTGAATGGTCAGTGATGTTTTTCGGTGATATCCCGCGAAATGTAGATCTATACTGATTTTGTCACTCTTTGTGTTGCGGAAAAAGTGACTTGGTTTACCTATAATCAAACCAGTTGGCCAAGTTTTGCTGCGATCAACTTTTTCAATGACATATCCTCGCAGGATTAAGAACACATTTCCGTTGCATTCCGTTGTTATAGTTGCTATTCTGACGTACCTGGTTAATGACCTCTCTATTTTGTTTTTTCCCAATTCACCAAGTGGTGTTGCAAGTCCAACAAAGACGCATCCCAAGAATGATAAGAATGCAACATGTCTTGTGTACATATTGTTCAGCCAATGGAAACACATCATTGTCTGTTGTAAAAGAATGGTATCAAACTTGACTTTCTGGTTGGTGGTTTCAATCATTTTTTCCATAATATATGGGATAATCCTTCCCATTGACTTCATATTTTTCAAGATGGTTAAAACCACCAACCAGCTTTTGAATGTGGTTGAACCCACTATGACTTCCTTGCATCCCCTGCCCAAGGTGCATCATTACCCACCCAAAGAGATGGCCGCAGACGTCGGTCCCTCCGTTGCACCGTCGTTGCACCGTTGAACACAAAGGGGGGGGACAAAAACTCGGGTGTTTTTACCCCAGAAAATCATGATACCCTGAGACCTTCACCAATTTTGAGTGGAAACGTTGGAAACAAATCTTCCAACCATTGTAGCAGTTTCCAATTATTTCCATTGCATCCATGGCGCCTGTGCGTTCACCTACGCGGCACTGAGAATATACCGTAAGTGAAGTTTTTCAGACAAGAGATCCGGTTTGTTTCAATGCGGATGCGAATGTTACCACGGGAAATTAGAGATGTTGTCCATTTTGGATTTAAATCAGGTGTTCGTTAACTATGATTCTGGGAAAATTGTAGCTTCCAAGAGTTGAAGATACTAAGATACCCAATCTATTTTACTGGCACATGCCAAGTCAAAAACACATCCAAGTAGCCAGCCGACTTAACTTTTGGCAAGGTTTGTCATACAAAATTACTGTATTTTGATACATTTTGCAGGAGTCCCCAATAATGTTATATGGAGGTTTCCTAAAATGGTGGTACCCCGAAATCATCCATTTATAGATGGATGTTCCATGAAATAAACATTTATAGACCATCCAGCGTTTCTGAAAAAAAACACCATTGTAGGAAAGCTTCATATTTTGTGGTGTCAAAAACAGATAGATATCGTCGGTTTATGGTCATTCATCATCCCATAAGCGGAAGTTCTGAAAAAAACCGGTCGAGAATTCTCCCCACGGATTGATCGACCATCCCCAGAAAAATGGCTTCTGAAAGGCCCTGTTTGGACATAGCTGGTTGCTGTCAATTGATAGGCCCCCAAAAAAATCTGCGAATTCTGATGAACTGACAATTTATAGCTGGTTTAATCATGTTTAATCATTAAATCCCCAAGTTTCCCCTAGACTGAGGGGTTTGCCAACCAAAGTTTGAGTTCAAACAAGCACATCCAGATTTTATCACCAAAAAACAGGTCATGCGGTAAGCCCAACAACAAACCACCCATTGAGTTTATCATGCTTGCATACCCTTAATTGGGAGGATGTAACAATTTGACCCCCAAATGGGTGGTTACTGGAATGGTTTATGGCATTGGGTTTAGCAAATTAAATTACAATGATTAGACATTACAGTATATCAAAGCTTCACCAAAATCAAACCTTCACCAACTCCCTACTATCACTCTCATATCCCACTATTCCACCATGTTTATCATTTTTTTCCTGGTCAATCATTTTTTTTTACTGATGTTTATCCCATGAAATCCCATGCAATCACCATTTTTCCATGGGTCTTCCCATGGTTTTGCCATGTTTTTTGTGGGTGATGGCCTCCTTTAGGTTATCCCGTACGCGGTGGGCAGACTCTTCTGATCGTCCGGACCGATAGATGGCCCATTTGGGAATGGTAAACATAGCACCGCACCTATTAAAATGGTGAAATATTGGGGATGGTTTACCCTCTGATTATGACTAACATTCCATGGTATAGATGGCCCATAGAAATAGATGGTTTACCTATTAAAAATGGGTGGATCTTTCCATGGCTATGTAACAAATAACCAGATGGTATATATTATTGTTTTACCAACATTATTGGAATAGAGTAATATATGTTCCAGTGACCAGAATAAATGGAAATACAAAAAAGGAATATAGAAATATCATATGGGACGATCTTTGGTAACTTTGATGACTGGAATATAGGGAAAGTAACCAACAAACACCAGGATGTGAAAAAATGGGATCATCATACATACATGGGAAATTAAGCAACAAAGACAGGAACACCAAAGGATACGTGGGAATTTCATGGGATAGTGAACATATGATGGGATAACACCATTTATGACTTTCCATTCAGTTGGGAATGTCATCATCCCAACTGACGAACTCCATCATTTTTCGGGGTAGGTATACCACCAACCAGTATCTATTTAGGGGTTTATCTATACCCTCTGGTAAACTAACATAACTATGGAAAATCGCAATTTTTAATGGGTAAATCAACTATAAATGGCCATGTTCAAGAGCCATGGAATATTAATAGTAATATCTGGTTATCCATATATTTATGGATGATATATTGATGGATATTTGTAGGTTGCATCCCCCCAAAACGGCCCTCCGGTCCCCTGCTTTTCTTGTGGACTTGTGGAGAAAATCCCATCCTTCGTTGGCCGGCCGTTCTTCGGTGCTCAGTCAATGATGACCCCCCAAGAGGGATGGCATTGGCTACGTGTCAGTCACTACCCTCTGGTAATTTGTTACATAGCTATGGAAAGATCCACCATTTTGAATGGGAAAACTCGCTATTTCCATGGCCATTTTCAATAGCTATGTAACAAATTACCAGAGGGTAACCGATCCTTGTTTTGATGCTTAACTCATGTTACCTAAAGATCCTCATTTGGTGACTGATCTCTGGTCAGCAATCTCACATGGCGGGCCGCTGGGAAATCCCCGAAACCCAGGCATACTTTCCATGGGAAGCATCGGAGGCCGCCTGTGGGTCAATTTCAATAGGTCAATATACCACCAAAAATATATGGGAGAGCCATCAGTACAACGGGATTTTTCAGGATATGGTATAATTTCATGGGATATGAAATAGACAAAATAGGTACAGTCCAGATATATATATATATATGTATATATATAATTTAATATATATATATATTATATATAAGTTAATATATATTATAATATATATATAATATATAATATAATATATATATATATGACCATAGAATATTTGTGTTTGTCGATGAATGGGGCATACCCCAAGTGAATGCCGTCAAACAATGGGGAAGATTGGACTCTGAAGCATGGTATGGAATACCCTATTTCAGTCAAGCCCAGATTGAGTTTTAAAACATTAATTCATTGATTGTAATTTATTTGGCTAACGTGGAGCCTTTTGACTATCTTTCACTGCATTTTGTTGCTGAGAACATATTGTGCCTGGTTTCAGTGGTATCCCAATCTTCGAGCATATTCCCACAGCATCCCGCTCTCTCGATGTCCCCCTGGTTTTTGTCTTTACATTATTGCATTGTGGGGTCCAAAAATCACAACTTCTATAGGAAACACTGCTATTGTTGGTCAAATCCCAATTTCAGGATACCCTCTGGTAATTTAGCGTAGCTATTGAACATGGCCATTTATAGTTGATTTTCCCATTAAAAATGGTGGATCTTTCCATAGTTATGTAAACGTTAAAACCAGAGGATATGTTTTATGACTTTCCATACAATTATTCCATTATATATATATAGTATAGTGATATTCATCAATCTCCACTTCACCGGTGCTGTGCGATGAACAGCATATGGTGCTTCACCGGTGCCTCAACTCAGCCTTGACCAGCCGTGGCATAGGGAGACATCGAGCGGGAGTTCTCCAAGTTTTGCCGCGTGAAGCGGGTCCACCTCGTGGTGCCACCGGAAGTGGAGAACTGGTTGGGGAAAAACACCGTGGTGATTCGCGGAATATATGTATACACATTTTATAAGAAAAGATGTATCTAACAATGTATCTAATGTATTCTGATGTCATATAGATGATATAAGGATATACAACAGACATTTTCATATAACAACGGATGTAGTGACTTAGCCCTAGATGATGTAAGGATTATCTAGCTAATACGAGCTTGTACAACCAAGAAGAGCTGAGGAAAATCGTAGGAGAATTTCGAACAGTTGTTTTACAGAGCCCATTATATAACTATAGGTATATCTACCAAACACCCTAATTGTAATGGTCGATTTCCCATGATGTTAAGCACCTTCATTGTATGGTCCCAGACATGTGTTTCTGTCCCCTACTAAGCCAAGGTTTCTGGTCGGTGTTCAATATTAGAAGGAAGGGAGGATAAACACTAGATGTATTAAATATTGGATGATATCAGGATATATCAGGATTATAAAACTATATATAATATATATCATTATTATATATAATAATATAAGTAACATTTTATAATATATATAACTATATAATATTATATATATACATGATATGGCTATATATATACGAAAGTATACATATGTCCCTGCGCAAATTAAAACGGAGCTATGGGCTTGCGCCAGGTGGACAAGTCCTCCAGGAAGCCACGTTGCTTCGGCTTCGTGAAGTTCTTGAGCAAGGCGGGACCTGCGACGCTTCCACCATGGCTTCCATCATGGCTTCCGCCAGGGCATGACGGCGGTGATGTTTAATGGGAGGTAATGGGGATGAAGCACCAATTTAATGGGAATTCTTATTGGTATTACCCTCTGGTAAACGTTTACATAACTATGGGACATCACCATTTTTGATGGGTAAATCAACTATTTCTATGGCCATGGCTTCAATAGCTATGCTAGTCATTACCAGGCCGGGTATGTGTTTAATTCACTGGATTTGCTGAGTTGATCATTTGCCATTGGACCAGGTTACAGAGACCAGTTCTGGTAGAATGCCAGATAGATTGTTAGATCATTTGTCAGATAGAATATGATAAAATGCCAGATGGAATGTCAGGTAAAATGCCAAATAACATATCATAATAGATGCCAGATAGAACGTCGTTTTTGGAATGCCAGATAGAATGTCGCAATAGATGCCAGCAGGAATGTCAGAGTATATGCGAGAAAAATTGTCAGATAAAATGTCAGAATATATATATATATAATACGTGACTTACATACTTCCAGACGGCATGTCAGAAACTATGTTAGAATAGTGTGTCAGGATTGGGATCACTTGAAGTAATGATTTTTCCAAATAGCCTTAAACATCCGAGAAGGAATCTTGGTGAATGTAAGATAATATCAACATATTTTGCCATAACAGAAGGAGAGAAGCTATGAAAAACTTAACATATTACAATGTATCAAAATTTTCACAGTATTTGATCCATTGTAATACATTGAAAATTGATCAATGACATTCAATTACTATGAATACTACGTAGTAACTATTGTAGTCCGTAGTTTAAAAACTGGACCAACTACCAAATTCATATTTGATCCATTTCAACTACTCGCGGTACGTCGACATACGTCGGTCTCCATACAGGCGGATGCTGAAGAGGCACTAAGGGCAACCACGCAAGGTGCGGGGGGGCGGGGTTGCCGGTCTTGCCAACGCGAGGCTAGCAACGAGGCTGCCAACAATGGGTAGATTGCTTTTGTATATAACTATATTTATACATACTATAACCATGTTATAGCTTCGGAACAAGAACTATAGTAATCTAAGTTATACTACAATACTACAAATCAATTATGATTTAGCCTCTGGTGATTGGTTACATAGCTATGGAACATTGTCCATTCGCCAGGGCTGGTGCAGCTGCCGGATACGCGAGGACACGTTTGGCATCTCAAGGCCGCGACTAGGGAAACGATGGAAATCAATGGGAAACATGGGAAAACTTACCTACGGCAAATTCATAGGATTGAAATCGTGGAAAAAACATGGAAAACCATGGAAAAAATCAGTGGATGAAGCATCAATATAATTGAACTATAGTGGAAGACATCAATATAAAGTTCAAGACTAGGGAAACCTCTTGAGATATTAGTCACTAGTCACCAAGAATTGATGGGAGGGACCAAACAAATATGGGGATATAGTTGGTATTTACCATACTGATTTGGGGTATAGCGTATTCTTGGTGCTCACCTTCACAGAAAACGATGCTTCTGGACTTGGATCTGGCTCTGGGTCGACTGGATGGGTAGTTTGAATCCTCTAATCCGTTGATATAAATAGGAATATCTACTAACCAGCGTGCATTAGTTTTGCAAGGTATGTAAGATTGGCAATGAATTGGGCCTCTCACAATGAAGAAGGTGAATGCCAAGGAGGGTACAGTGTACAATTGTACCAAGTCTTGGACGGCCACAATTGCCAGATGACACAAGATGAGATTGACAATAAACTTGACAAATGGGATAGTGAAGGTGTCACCCACAAAAAAAAGCTTTAATCCACACATTGTGGCTTTATATAGAGGGCATTTATTGTACCACCATCACTCACTGGTAGTGTCGCCAGGGTAAACCGACTGGTTTTTCAGTGTTCTTGGCCGTTTTATACTGGCCAATCTTTGGTACTAGGAGTTTCTACATATATATATACCCTCTGGTAATTTAACATAACTATGGAAAATCACCATTTTTAATGGGAAAATCCACTATAAATTGTCATTTTCAATAGCTATGTTAAATTACCAGAGGGTATATATATATATAAATAAATGAAAAAAACTGCAAACATGATAATTTGGAAATGGGTGATGATTTGGGCACGAGTCTAGCAGCATTTTTTGGGTCAATGGGACAGATGGGGCCACCAGATGGCTGGGCATTTCTAGGTCTGAAAGCATCCATGTTTCACCAGGAATGAGGATCAATCAGAACGACTGAGCAGAAATGAAGGGTAGAATGGTGATTTTACAAATGGGTTTGTCTGAAAATAGGATATATTCCCAATGAAATAGCCATTTAATAGGGATAATGATCAGCAAAACCATTGGGTTTAGGGGTACACTATTTTCAGACACACCCAAATGGAATTTACCTTCAAAATTCGGGGGATCATACCAGAAGAACACATGTTAAGAGATATTGAACTCAGGTGGATTTGACCACGAAGTCACGAAGTCTGGGCTCTTCATCACCTGGAGAATTGCGTACCTCTCAACCCTGACGCTGGTCGATGCTGAAACATGGGCACCACTACTGCTAGTAGATCCCAAGACAACTTGGGATCTAGTCACTTCGTCGGCCAATGTGTTCAAACCCAAGATTTTTCACCAACAAGATCCAACAAGGACGGGTGAACCCCTCAATTTCAAACACATATAATGTAATATAATATATATATATGTATATATATATATTAACATATATATATATATATTAATATATATTATATATATTAATATATAACATTCCCAAAAAAGGATTCAAAAACGTAAAATCAATAAAAATCATGTAAAATCCTACTAACATGGTGATAGGTTATACTCTTCTATACCTTTTTATTGAGGGGTTGCTAGGTTCCGATGGAAATCGCTGGGATTCGTTCGAGGCAGAATGGACCAAGTCTGGAGACATGGTGGTGGATGATTCTGAAGCGGAGCAAGAGGCCGGGGATGTCCATCACCCTTCGCCCGGCCGGGAAATGCATCTCACCTATACCCTCTGGTAATTTAACAGTTTGCTATTGAAAATGGCCATAGAAATAGTGGATTTTCCCATTGAAAATGGTGGATCTTTCCATAGTTATGTTAAATTACCAGAGGGTATAGTGCTTGAGAACCTGTTAATTATATCCCTTTATTATAGGGGATATTATGATTTCACCTCCATGACCTCACGTTAGATGTCACTGGTTGGGATCGGGGGAAGCCGCCGCCGACATTTTTTTTCCTGAAATGTACAGAGTGGATGCCCCTTGGCATCCAACCATTGTAATCAAGTCTGACTGTGTCAGATTAGTGAATTTCATCCATGTCTTGGTATATGTATAGTATGTTTTATAGTATAGCATAGTATAGCATTATAGTATATATATATAATTTATATACAATATATTATAATATATTATTAGTAACCATCCATATCTTGGTAAATCGTGGTCAAACGGAACAAAAGCTTGGATTTGGGATGTTCCTACCCAGAATCAGGTCGACGTCGCAATGACGCGTTACTAGTTCTACTTAACCTAGATTCATTGCCTTTGTTGGTTGTATATCCCTTGATGTCCCCATAAATATTGAGGATGTTGCAGTCCTCTTTGAAAGATGATCCTCAATACTGGGCACTCAAAAGAGTTTGTTAGTGATGTTTAGCCGTAGATTGGGGGTTTATGCTATCCAGTTTTTTGTGGTATCTAAGAGGAGCCATGACTCAATCTAGCCGGATGGATTGGGTTGCCGTTACTGATATGAATTTTGAATAGTCAGAGGGTTCAAGGCTCAAACAAGTAAACATATCCTAGTAAAACATGGCCGGGTAAATGGCAGCCCAGTATTAGTTTTACTTTTTGTAATTTACTGTAGTAGTTAACATATCCTACAAAAGGCAGACTCTTAGTAGGGGATCAACAAACCTCCAGGGAATTCGAAGTTATTCTGACAAGATGAGGAACAATAATCAATAGATCTGGGTATTACGTACAAAAAGTTGAGGCTTCACTAACAAAAACAGAGGTACATGTTCAATATTTGCAACGACAGTCCTGCCAGTCTCTATCTACATCCCAAGTAATTATATAACATATTATATACTTGATAGATTTGCTAGTAAGGCAAAGCCAACAATACCATACAATACCCAACAACCATTGTCGTCCACTGCGTCCACCCGAATGGGTTGATTCCTATCATGGCGCCCAGCTGGGTGCGGGGCCATGAATCCATGACCTGGGGCTTCCCACCATGAAAAGCAACCATGAAAACTTGGCACATGTTCCGTTTTTCGGATATACTACCGTAAAACCATAATACAAAACCCATAAAGAAGTCATTCAAAACTCTTTGTGATACCAATTAAATACCATGTATTTGCCCCATAAAATCCACAAGAACATGCGGGGAATAAGCCGACAAAATGGATCAAAATCATTGGCAGGTATTTTTCCTACGACAACCCCATGATTTGGCAGGTAGCAAAGCGAAAGGAAGAACGGCGCAGTCGCACTGACACCACACCCGGCCGTGCGAAGGCCCAGGTGTGGCTGGTGCATTTGATACATCAATTTGTGGTTAAAGCAACAGTTTCTTAGTCAGTTAGTCACAGCATTTCCATCACTAGATATCACTAGTATAATAACTAAAATATGTACTAACATTAGTGTAACTTTAAGACATTTCCATCACTAGTATATGTTGAACTGTTGTGAATCATTTTATATATTCCCATGTGTATCTTAATAATCCTGTATATGTATACCTCAATCCCCCAGCAAATCTCATGTCTGGATAGTTTATGTCAAGACCTCAGCGGACATCACCAAAGCTGATGGTTAGTACGGGCTATCCCAAAATGGCCTTGGGAAGTATTTGTTGGAAGTCAAATAGGTTTGTCTTCATATAGGAATCTATAGGATATACCATCCTTAATACCATCCTTAAATGGATTTTCAATGAGGAACATGATGAGAATCCATTTGAAGTGGAGGTACCCTCTGGTAATTTAACATAGCTATTGAAAATGGTGATTTATAGTGACATTTCCCATTAAACATTGTGATTTCCATAGTTTTTTGCAAACGTTTACCAGGCCGGGTACCCTATGTTCAGACAAACAGCTGGTCGTAAGTCAGCCACAAGTTGTTTACCCCGGCTTTCAGAGGTGCCGAACTCAACGGACACTGGACATGGCGACAGGGGTCATAGTCGCTGGTAAGCGGCTTGCCTTCTGTGAAAACCCCATTTTATAGCTGCTAAGTGGATGTTCATCCCCCTTTTTATGTGGTATACTTTGATAGGTTTTGACCCATCTCCATACAATTGGGTCAAATAAGTTAAACCTGTGAAATCAACCGGATTGTGTAAATCATTAAAGATATTTAGAGCAAGTCGGATTCAATCAATACTATTAGAAAGGTCAAAGAGCATTACACAACTTGATCATGCAAATTCATGCAAATTCACTTAAATAAACACTCAACTGATTTCAATATGTTAAATAATGGTCAATACTTGTACTAGTGACTCCTGCCGTCAATGATGGTTGGGATGTTGGTATTCCAAAATGGCCATTATTTCAGAATGACTATATCATGACCTTCTTTGTTGATATGGATAAAGCGATACTTTATATGATTTTATATGTACTTTCATTATTGTATTGTATGACTTTGCAGTTTATTTATGTTTTCTTCATTGCCGACCCAGGATTCCAAGGAAGATCCACAGAGAGACAAACAGATATCCGCACTAAAAGCTTGCTGCTTTCGAAATACACAACGAAGACCTCCCGGAGGATATTCCGGTGTTGGTTCAAGATGTCCAGATCAAGTCGGGACAACAGACGAAGCAGCTACACTCTGCACCGCCCATGGCAAGGCGTAGAAAGTGCTGCAAGAGGCCCAGCGAGAGGCGAATGAATCTCCCGCCTGGAGAGGCTTTCTGACATCTGCGAAGCAATGGCAGAAATATACGGATCTCTTTTTGCAACGAGAAACAACTTTCCGACAGGGTGAGCACTGCCAAGGAAGGTCTGGTTTCTGTCAAGGAAGTATTCAGTTCCTCAAAGATCGCAGCAGGTGTAGAGTCCAAGGACGATGCATCCAAAGTGAGCGACATCGACGACTTGGACGGGAACATGACCAGTACTTTGGCATGAGACGAAGCAGTTGACTCTGCAGCATGGTGAAATGAAATGAAGCAGCTGACTCCCAGCTCAGACAGGGCCTTTCGGCCAGCTATGGAAAAACAATACCCTCTGGTAAACTAACATAAATGTGGAACACCCGCCATGTCTAGATCATTTTCCAAACCGGAAACCCAATCATTCCTCCACATCATCTGTGTTAGTTTACCCTACGGTCCTACGGTCCCCAACAGAATTTGGTCTACTGACTACCCCAGCTGCCTAGGTGGAGGTACCAGCGCACCCCCTCCGAAGGCGCCGAAATTGGTCAGAGATTGGTGAGGTTCAACTCACCTCCTCGAAATTCTCATGGCATTCACATTATTTTCCTAGTAATATAAATTGTCCAACATATTCCAATCCTGAATATCATTCTTGTTGATAGTTTACCATTGCTCTTGGGAAGGATGTCCTGATATGAGTAACGAGTTTCCCAATTCTATTCCCATTAGTGGCCCAGGTCTTCTTAAAATGATTTTCGTCCCTCTCCTACTCGGGAGTGCAGTTCCAGTGAACTAAGTGGAAAGAAATTTCACCGTACTTATAGCGGTTATATCCCAACTTATGGGGGTTATGACCATAATTATCATTAATTATCCATAAAACATCATAAAACTAGGCCAACATCATTGTATAATTATCATTAGTTATCCATAATTATCATTAATCATCCATAAAACATCATTGTCTCATGGGGGTTATGACTGCACCCCTTTATAGGAGGTCAGCTGGCCCAACGTTTTGGCGCCGCGCCAGGGGGCGCTGCATCCGGGAGTCCCTGCTCCCTTGCCGCCGTTGCAGACGCGCTATCCACCACAGGTGGAACCGATAACACCGATGAAATGTGGAGGTTTTCGGTGGAAAAACATGGCTTTCTTCAATGGTTTTGAGGGATAGCCATGGATATGTGTATATGTGTAATTATATATATAGAACTATATATATATATACTTAACTATATATATATGGATTTATTAATTAATTATAATTAATATATATATATATGTCAATGTATAGAGTAGTGTAGTCCTGTCTGGGATGTCATGATGTCATTCTTTGTTTGTTTCAAACACTTTTTTACATGTTTTAAAGCTACAACAAATTGGGATTTCAACAAGAACTTTGAAGCGACAAAATGGTTGCCACCAACAAAAAATATGAGTTTCTGTCCAGCAAACATGTTGATGTCATTAAACAAAGACTTGCTTTGAATTCGGGTACAATTGATGTTGAAATTAAGAAGTAATTTTGGGATCCACGTTCAAGTCATCGAACATATCTACCTTAATCTAAAGTGGACAACTAGATCGAGGCGGTTGTTCTTGGTAATTTGATAGTTTGATTCAATCAATGGGAAGATATATGACTCATATATGACATACGAATTAATCATAATAAATACATATAAATACGATAAATGCGATGAGTTCTTTTGTAGGTTATCTATGGTGATCAGTTGCTCCTCCATAAATACGCCATGTCGTCACAGGCTGCCATTGGCATGCCGCCGCCACCACCTTTGCCCTGAGTCCCAGCCGGAGGGAACCAATGGTCAGCAAAAATGGTGATAGGAGGGTTGCAACCAGTGGTTAATGATGGTTAATGGTGGTGAATGATGGTGAATGTTGCTTAATGATGTTAATGATGGTTGATCTATGGATCATCATGGGATTATCATGGGATTTTTTCATGGTTAATGATGGTGAATGATGGTGAATGATGGTTAATGATAGTTATGACTAACATAGCCATGGTTTTTCGATGGCCCATAGAAATAGATGGTTTACCGTTCTTAAAAATTGCGAGAATTATCACCCCAGAAGAGTAGATAATTGCAACTGAGAATGTGGACAACTCTGCTTGACAACTCACGCCCTTTTTGTCTCACTGTGCTAGCAGAATTTACGCCTCCTAATCTTGAGCCAACATGTTGTTGGCGGAATGCTGATCTCATTGATCAAAGGAAGCACGATGCGGCTGAGCATGTTCACAATGCTGTGGCAACAGGGAGAGCTGAAAGCTTGGTTGCGGTCAAATTCTCTAATTGTTTCCAAACTCACATTCGGTTCAGACGTCATGTCTGCTTACTCTAGTTCGGAAAAAAAACTCTTGCAAATTTGCACGGCTCTCAAATTGGAAATGTGATCAAAAGCGGTTCAAAAACTTCGATCTCACAGATTGCTTGGACCCAGGAAACGCAAGACAATAGGAGATCATCAGGATGTTCAAAAAAGTCTCAACCGTGGAAACGTCGCAAAACGATTTCTGAGAAGCTTCAAACTCATAAGCTGTACCGCAGCTGATTATAAATTCCTCTTTCGCACGTCTAAATGTTTCTCCAAAATTGAAATCACTGTGTGAATTCCGCGTTCGAAATCTCAATGCTCTGTCAAAGATTGAAATCACTGTTCCGCGTTCGAAATCTGAACGCGCTGTCAGGAAAGTTGGAAATCAAGCTCTAAACTGCATACGACTTGCTCAAATCGCACAAAACGTGTCACATGCTATGCAGCAAAAGACACTTTCACAAATCTCTGAAATCACTTGAAAAATTCGGAGAAAATTATTCCAAGCTGGCAATGCAAGCTGAATGGCATAGGATGAGTTTACAGCATCATCAAGCAAGTTCAGCTTACTGTCTTGGAGGAGGTTGTAAAGAGTTTTGAGGTGTTCGGAGGAGCGCTCAAAGGGATTGATGGCATGCTGAAAACAAGCAAATCTCTAGATCCAAGTGTCATACTTAAATGGCTGTCGCTTTGCTCACGCATGTGGGTATGATTTGATATAGTATCACGTGAAGTCAAATAGACTTGAAGACTTTGCTAAAAGCAAGTTTGTTTTTTTTGTTTTGTTGGGGCAACATTTGCTCGTAGCTTGCAGCAAGTGATTAGTGATTGGTTGAGAGTCCGCCAGCGACCAAACAATGAATACGCATCGAAAGAGGTGTATGACATTCGCACCCCCTTTCGCTGGCTGAATCTCAATTGCATGGCCCATCGGCTCATCATCTCGCTGAAAATCGCACGTCCAGGCCTGATCGGGCTCTGGCAGCTAGCTTGGCATCTCTGTTTTTTTTTTTTTGGAGCTTATCCCAGGCAGGAAAGAATGGAGAAAACAACGACGGTTCAAACTGGGTTCTCAAGCAGTTTCTTCATGGAATATCGGATTTCTGTCATGCCAGGCTCGAAAAACCGGTATGCTGGGAGTGTGGACTTGGCCATGTCCTTGCCAATGTAAACATCTCGATAGGCCTGAGCGATGATGCTACACATCGAAGCAGGATAATGGCTTACTTTGTCCCAATTGACTGCATTGAATGCAACGTGACTTTCACAATTGCACTCTGTGTGATTTGCCAACGATCTGGCTAAACTTGGATGGGTTCCCAACCACAAGAAAATCTTTCCAACCTTAGGATCTGTTTCAGGAAAACTGCAAAGCCGAGGGAACTGTGCATAGATATGGCGACCTACTTTCACAAAGAAATCTGCCATGAACTTACTGTTCCAATACCTATTTCTCTTGGGTAGCTCGAAAGTGAACTCATCTGCTGCAACGGCGAGGCTTTGGCTCAGTTTCAAAATTTGTTCCAACTCAGAAACTTGCGTTGATTCAGTGGGCTCGGCATCTGCTGGGATATATTCAGTCGTGTCTGAATTTCCTGAAGGCTGAAGGGAGAAATGCACATAAACAGGCTTACCTTTCTTTGAAAATCGCTGCACAAGATCACTGAGCTGGGCATGAAACATTGTTAAATCTGCCCTTGTGGAAACTCGGACGACTGCCATTTGAATGTCTCCACAAAAACTGGCTTGAATCGACTCGGTTAAATTGCTGTTCACACCGCAACATATTTCCAAGAAGATCCCTGAAAACTTACTAGGCGACAATTCTGGTAAATTGGCTTCTTGTGTTTCTAAGATCAAGCTCAATGGTCGTGAAGCAAACTGTGATGGATCTGATTTCTGAGCGTCTGGCACAAAGACTGTGGAAGCAAGCACGTGCTCTTCATCTTGGGAGTTCGACTCCAAAGACTGAACATTCACTGACTCCGGCCTACCCCCATACAAAATGCTTTGGATTTGATTCGTCTTTCCTTTCTTCTTTTTGGCTGTCCGCTTTGTTTGGGATTCAGATTGTTGGTCTGCCAGTTTGGCTGGAAGTTCTGCTGATTCAATGAATCCCATTGATGTCCTGAATTTCAAAAACAGCTTCATTCCTAAACACTTGGTCAAAATATCTGCAATTTGCTGTGAACCCTCGACCCATGTGAGAATGATGGTTCTTCTTCGGACCATCTCTTGGCAGAAACAAATTCTCAACTCAACATGGCGACTGCGTCTTTGGAGCCCTGGTGAGGTCAGGACTCGGATGGCTGCTTGGGAATCACAACGGACTTCCACCTCAATGGCTGTGGCATGTTCAAGGTCTTCATCAACTAATCCAAAAATCAGGGAGTTTGCAAGACTGTGTATTCGATCTGAAGCTTGAAAACTTTCATGGATGTTGGTCACATGCGCGTGAGTTTCTAGAAAAAGATGCTCAGAGATACGCTTGATTCCCATGCTCTCTTGAAAGGATTCAGCTAATGCTGACAGTTCTGACTCGCAACTTGAAAGTGCGACCACTTGTTGCAATCTTGTGAAAGCTTTGATGATGGACCCGCGATAAAAAACACACGCGCCAGAAATTGATCTACGCTTGAGAAAGCGCATTGGGGCCCAGCTGGCATCACAGTAGATTACCAAGCGTTGCGCTTCTTGTTCCTCGATGGTTGCTTCGGGAGATGGGAATCTCTGGTAAATGCCTCTTTGGCTTTTCATGAATTTCAACACTGATCTCAAAGCCTTTTCATGGCGATCTTGCGGTGTGGCCATGCCTGTGGCTAGCAAAGCTATGTATACATTGATGAAAACATATGTTTGGGACATCCAGGACAGTTTGCCTAAGGCTGCTCTGTACCGCATGGCCGCATCTGGGGATAATTCATCAGACTTGGAACTGTCTTCAAGTATCGGTCGAAGATCTGGAGGATTTATACTGGCAGTGCTGATGCTGTAGGCCTCAAACATACCATCTAAATAGTTTTCATCCAGACTGATGGTAATCTCTTTGCTGTTGGATTTTCTTTCGATGTTGCGGCCAAGAAAACGCAAACTGCCACCCCCTTCAAAACTTCGCTCTATAAGCCCCGTGCGTTTTACTTTTAGGTGTAGGGCCAAATGGTCTTGAACGGCAACTGCAAATACCTTACTCGGGGCAAACACGAGCAGATCATCAACGTATGCAACTACTTGCACCCATGCCTTTCCATGCCCTTTGACTGAAACTTCTCCAGAAAAAACAGTTGTTTCAATCAAAGACGGTTTGATTCCTAACTCTTGCAGCAAGTGGCTTAAGTGTTCTACCCAAGCCAAACCGCTTGTTCTCAAGCCATTTATGGCCTTGAATGCTTCGAGGAATATCGGGCTACCATCTGGAAACTGCATAGTATTTGGTGGCATCTTCAGAATGACTTTGATGGGTTTGCCAAGACGCCGGCCTAGCGGAGAAGCCATGAATGCAGCACTGATGTCCAGGCCTAGAATCACCAGGTCCAGGACTGCTGCTTCTGCAATGAGGATTCTCAAAGATTCAATGCTGGAAGTAGGCGAAGAAACCATGAGGTCACGGGCAGAACTCTTTCCTTTTGCCATTTCCCGTGCAACTAGTCGCATGCGAACATTCAAGGGATCTTTCTCAACACAAACCCATCGGCAAGTGATTATACTAATCTGCCATTGCTTGGCAAGACGCTGGGCTTCCTGCTCATGGATTGGTCTGCCAACCTTCTGACTGGTCATGGAATCGATTTCAGTGCGCATCCCTGCATACGCAAGGTCTTTGTCGAGATATTGGCCATTGGCGTCACTGATGACATATCCAGGAAACAAAAGTAAAATTTCTTCCCCACAAAGGTTTGCCTTGCTGCTCTTGGGTTTCACTCCGCGGATCTGATAAACCGATTGCAACATGCCAATGTGACGCTCTTCTAAATACGAAAGCTCAAAGTTATCCAAGGCTGTTACCAAATCTAACTCCATAGCTTCCGTGGCTGTAGGTTCGCCTCCAGCAGCTGCAAATTCACTTAGGTCTACCATTCCGTCAGCAGAGTCGTCTACTTCCATGTCATGGATGATTTCTGGCTCGTCCAATGCCTTTGGAGAACTGGGTGCAAGGCTGGGCGAATATGGAACATCATGTGGATTCTCATCGAGATGTTGACCCCCTTCAACTGGGAGACTTTCTGGTATGGGTTGATTCTTTGGAAGATCAAACGAAACTCGTTTCTCTCTGTTTGCTGGAAAGTCTGGAAACCTCTGCTGGATGGGTTCATCAGCTTCACCCAGGCCTGGCGGTGGCTTCTGCTTGCCACTCAAACGTCGCACCTGGCTGCCATCGGCTGCCAAAACAGGACCCTGAGACATATTGAGATCAGACATGGGATCTGATCGTCTCCTCAACCACTCAATATATCTGTCTATACAT